ACAAATCTTTTAAAAAAATAAAATTAAGTGACTACAGTTAAAAAATTAAAAATAATGTGTTGGCAATGTTAATTGCCAAATTGGAACCCAAAGACATAGCTGGTAGGAACGTAGAATAATGGAGATACTATGGAAAACAATCAACCGGTTCCTCAAAAAGTTAAACATAGACCCAGCAATCAACTATATATATCCAAGAAAATGGAAAACATATGTCTCCACACACTTGTACATGGATGCTCTTATCAGTGTTATTCATATAAGCCAAATGTAGAAATAAACCTAATGTCTAGTAACTGAGGACTGAGTAAATAAAATGAGGTATACTATAATACAGAATATCATTCAATCATAAAATTGAATGAATTACTGATACATACTACAATATGAAGTCCATGTTCCTATTTCTGGGCTAGCCTCTCAGGTAATCAAGAATTTTTTAATTTATTTTTTAAAAGATTTATTTATTTATGCATATAAGACCTGGGGTCTGGGCCAGAGGTGCAGGGTGTGGGGAAGGCCGAGGGATTGGGGGTGAGAGGATTCATGAGAGACATAGTGGGGAGTAGAACAGGTAGATCTACTGAAATACACTGATGAGGGGCACAGCAGTGGCACAGAAGAGGTCTGCTATGCCCTGTGGGTCAGCTCCCTGGCCAGGGATTAAAACCATGCTGCAGTAGCTGATTGATTAGTGCTGACACTTTAACCCCAATAACATCAGGGAGCCCCTGAATTTTCAATTTTGATCGGAACTGGATTTTATTTGGGTGTGGCTAATAAATGGGCAGTTTTAAGGCTCTCATGAATGTAGGACATACCACTCATCCAGAGGCCCACAATTCAGGATGCATTTGATCCCACAGTTATCTGGGATGAGCTGCTTTTCTGCGACCAAGAAACCTGAACTTGGCTCTGCTTATTGCCTCAATTACATGCTTCTTGTTCTATAGCCTGTGACCAAGAATTTGTTTTAGAGAACCTTTATTAAAGCTGTGTGCTTTTCTTTTCTTTTTTTAAGATTTATTTATTTATGTATACAAGAGCTGAGGTGTAAGCCACAGGTGTGTATGGGGGGAATCAAAACATTCACCAGGAGCAGAGTGGGGAGCAGAACAGGCAGATCTACTGAAATCCGCTGCTGAGGGGAGCAGCAGGCTGGTCAGAAGAAGTCTGCTGTGCCATGTGGGACAGCTCCCTGCTTGGGGATTAAACTTGTACTACAATGGCTGTGGATAGCTTCATAGTGCTGAGACTCAAACCCTATGCCCCATTTTCAAAGTTTGGTAAGACACATCTAGAAAGAGTTTGTTCAAAAAACCCAGATATTTTATGATTCCATTTATATAAAAAGTCCAGAATAGGAAATTCATAGAGACAAAAGGTAAATTAGTTGTTGCTAATGATTGGAAGGAATGGGAATGGATCTTCCTACATTCCTACCAGCTATGTCTGTGGGTTCTAATTTCTTAACATTGCCAACACATTATTTTTCATTTTTTATATGTTAAATGGTAAATTTTATTGCACTCAGGATGTTTATTAAAAAAAAAAAGATGAACTGGGCTATGGTGATGGCACACGGGTGATTTGGTGGTGGGAAGCCCACGAGGATTACAACTGAGATGGAAAAAGGCACAAAATGATGTAAAAATAAACTATTATGTTATTAAAACAAAAAAGAAAGATGAAGTAGAAAAACTGCCTCTTGTCTATATAAGTATTTACTCCACTCTAAAATCTGAATCATAAACTGGGTAGTAATTGGACTTACCAGAGTCTCATAAAGTGTTGATACAAATAATATTTTTACACTTCACATTTTGAAAGTATAATGCTAACAACTTCATATAAAAAAATACTTTTTTAAAGTGCACTCCTGGGTTCTTATCACCTCCATGTATGTCTGGATGTTTGTGTGTATGCAAATATATATATCTATAAGTCTACATGTGTATGTACAGATGTCACTGTCAAAACTGATGCTCGATAAACTAGTTGCTTAGTTAGCATTTTCCTACCACTAGCTGAATTAGCTGTTTAGTAGCAGCTGATGGTCAGACCCCAGATTTTCATTTCTGGGCCAGCCACTCCATGACCAACAATTTGGTTCAGAGAACCTATGGTGATGTTAAGTGCTTCTCAATGTTTGATCAACTGCAGCTAGAATCAGAATTGTCTGGAGTCTTGACTCTGAGCATTCTGTGATAGAAATGAGGCTGTTATTTTAACAAGCTCCTTGGGGGATGTGGTCTGCACTCAATTCTGGAAGTCCTAGCTCTAGGCACCTATTCTTGATTGCTGTGGGAAAGCTGAGGCTGTCTTTGGTATCACTATCCTGCTCACAATCTTCCTGTTAGCCAGAGTGAGAGTTAGCTCCTACCCTCTCAGGAACAATAATGGGACATCACTGAAACGGTGCTGGATCTGTAGGGGTAGGCTACTGCTGCTATTTCCATTCTGTGTGGCATTGTTTCAGCCTACTGGGGACCCTACTGTCCCAAGAGAAGCTATAGGAGATAGATGGCACCGCCATTGAGACCCACTCACCATACCTGGACTGGAGCCCAGAATCCTGAATTCTAGGCTCAGCTTTTTTTTTTTTTTTTTTTTTAAGATTTATTTATTTATGTGTACAAGAACTGGGGTACAGCCAAAGGTGCCATGGGGTGAGAGGACTTACCAGAGACAGATTGGGAAACAGAACAGGCAGACCACCTGAAATACCCTGCTAAGGGGAGCAGTGGGTGAAACAGGAGAGGTCTCCTGTGCCATGTGGGTCACCTCCCTGGCCAGGGATTGAACTCATGCTGCAGTGGCTGTTGACAGCCTCATAGTGCTTCATTTCAATCCTTTGTACCACCAGGGAGGGCCCTCCAGGCTCAGCTTGTACTGTACATATCTGAAGGGAGAAGATGGAGAAGACTATTAAGTCAAATATCTCTCAAAGTTGAAAGCTACACATGAGATTTCCCAGTTACTGTATTTGAATGCTTTCTGGGAGTGGGAAATTCACAGTGGGTCTGCTACCTGACCTTAAAACAGATACCAGACTCAGCTAAACACCTTTAGGCTGACCTGCTCATCTCCTCTGGACACATCTGTTTAGGGTCATTCTAAATTTTCTTTTTTAAAAATTTAAAAAATTTACTTATACATACAAGAACAGGGGCCATGTGTGTGTGTGTATGTGTGTGGGGGTGTAAGAGGATTCATCAGAGATGGAGTGGGGAGCAGAATAGGTGTATTGAGTGAAATACACTGCTAAGGGGAATAGTGGGCCAAACAGGAGAGGTCTGCTGCTCCGTGTGTGTTGACTCCCTGCCTGGGAATGAATCTCATGTTGCAGTGGCTGGAAATTGCTCTATAGGGCACCCCTATCCCACCAGGGAGGCCACTCATTCTAACATTTTTGAAGAAACATAGATGTCACTGCTCTGGCTAACATTCTTAAGTTGCTTCCATCCCTCTTAGACTCATAATTCCAACGAAGACCTAACTGTCCTTGCTGATCTCTGCAGCCCTATCTCCACCTGCAGTCCCTGTCACAGATTTGTAAGCCTGGGCCTTCCTGCATAACTGGTTAAAGCACAGCATTATGAAGCAATCTGAAGCCACTGTAGCATGTGTTCGATCCCGGCCAGGGGGCTGACCCACATGGCACGAGGCAGACCTCTCCTGTCCCACCCACTGCTCCCCTCAGCAGTGTCAATCAGCCAATTCTGTTTCCCAGTCTGTCTCTGGTGAATACTATCACACACCCCACCCTACACCCCTGGCCTGTGTACCCCAGTTCTTGTATGCATAAATAAATCTTAAAAAAAAAGATTTGCGGCCCTCTCTGGTGGTGTAGCAGGTTAATACAGCACTGAGAAGCTAAAGCCACTTCAGCATGAGTTCGATCCCCGCCCAGGGAGGTGACCACATGGTGTGGCAGACCTCTCCTGACCCGCCCGCTGCTCCCCTCAGCAGTAAGCTTCATCGATCTGCCTGTTCTGCTCCCCACTCTGTCTCTGGTGAATCCTCTCACTGCCCCTGCACCTCCTGCCTGTATCCCAGTTCTGTATGCATAAGTAAATTTTAAAAATCTTTAAAAAAAAATTACAAGCTTACTGCACTTCATGCAGTTAACTTCTGTTCATCCCTCAGCTCCCTAGTTTCATTTCCCTGAACCCCAAGTCTGAGAGTCTCTGCTTATTCATGCTCCTCACGCTCTGAGCCTCACATTATTAATATTTGTCAGTGTTAATATTTTTTCACTTCAGTGCCTATCGCACTAATAATGTCTGCCTCCTGCTCCTGTAGACAGGAAAGTTCCCTGGAGCAGGGCTGTGAGTTTACTCTCCCTGCCCCCCAGTACCTAGTGAAAGATCTGGAAGATATTTAATTAGATGAATGACTCAACCTAGGAAGGTGGACCACAATCTGGGTGGAGTGTGGAGAGTGCTGGGGCTGGGCTGGGTCAAAGAGCCAGGGCAGCTAGCTACTCACTACTCACATAAGTCCTCAGAAGTGAGGGCATCTGTCTGCGGCCATGCCCAGGGCGGGGCGGTGTCAGGGAACCGACCGGGCAAGGATACACATGAAGCCGACGGCTGGGAGGGGCGGCCGGCTCTGTGCTTGAAGGCCTCAGTTTCCCCAAGGATTCCCTAGGGGTGGACGGAGAACAGCCCCTGCGGCCCCTGAGGAGGCTCTCACCCGGCAGGCGCGCGGCGGAAGCCCGGGGCCGGAGTGACTACAGGCCGCCACGCCCGGCGAGGGCGCTCCAGCCGGGTCCTCTGGAGCAGTCGCGCGCAGCCGCGGCCCCTCTAGCAGCCAAGAGGTGGCGCAGTGTGTGTAGGGAAGGCGGCGGGCTGCTCGGCTCTCGGAGACTGCGGGCGCCATGGTAGGGGGCGAGACAGCCGCCGCGGTGGAGGAGCTGGTCTCTGGGGTGCGGCAGGCGACCGACTTCGCGGAGCAGTTCCGCGCCTATTCGGAGAGCGAGAAGCAATGGAAGGCCCGCATGGAGTTCATCCTGCGCCACTTGGCCGACTACCGCGACCCGCCCGACGGCGGCGGCCGCCTGGACCAGCTGCTTTCCCTCTCCATGGTCTGGGCCAACCACCTCTTCCTGGGTTGCAGGTGCGGACCCCTGCGGGCTGCCTGACCCTGCCCCCCGCTTTCCGACCCGCAGCTCTCGCCCAGCCTGACTCCTGCTCAGGATAGAACTTACCCCGCAACGTCCAGTGACGTTGATCAGGCCCACGGCCCATTCCCATCCTAGCCAACCCCTTGCCGAGAAATTTAATTTCTCTAAGCCTCAGGTTCCACATTTGGAGCATTGTTGTGATGAATACAGAATTAACGGGTGAAAAGCACTTAGCACAAGCTGCCATCTAGCAAGGACTGAGGACATGGGCCTTCAAGTTGCCGTTATCCGTATATACAATTCGCTCAGACCATCACCTTGCACAGTGCATTAGCACCTTTCATTCACTAAAAGGTGAAAACTGAGATTCCCTAGTTTATACAGGAAGAAGCTGGGGGAGAAGTGCCACATAGCCTCTGACAGGATTGGTGGGTTTTACCATTTATGGTAAGAGTATCTGGGGTGCAGCCTTCTGCTGCACCCCAAACTTAAAATCTGTGGTTCTTGGCTGTTTCTCCTCAATCCCCAGTGTGCGGGACCCCGTGATAGAGCCAGCCTTGCCTTTCCACTTATGGAAATAACAGACCTCCAAGAGCCCATTTATGAGGTGTTCGATAAACATCTCTGCCCCACCCTCAAGAAGGTGGCAAATCTCCAGGCTCCCCACAGCCCCTTATTTTAGTCTTCCCTGCAATTGTGTGTGCCCCTTATGTCTGCCTGCCTGGTCATATGATTCCTCTAGCCCTAAACCACTGGGTTTTGCTTTCAGATGTTGGAGATTATTAGAACAGTATTTGGGGAAGCTGTGCCAGACCCATCTATTCCTTTTCTCTGCCTTCTAGGTACCCCTGGGAGATTTTCTTTAAATGTATCCAAGATTATGGCAAATGTCAAAAAAAATTGACAAACGAAAATAGTTATTTTCACTAGGCCAACATTGCACATGTTTAAAAATGAAAAAATTGGACCCTCATACCTAATCATGAATATGTACTGCCAGATGTACAGTCTCTATTTTTGTCTTTTTTTAAGTTGTCTTTTTTTTTAATCTTGAAACACCTGTTCTGTTGGCATTCCTAGAGCCCCTGCTGTATCCACAAGTGGAAAGAACTATTCCCTAAGCTGCTGCTGAAATTGTATGTGTTTACCCTAAATTATCAAATCAGTCCTCTGAGAGTTTACAGTCCTACCTGTAATTTCTTAGTAGCCACAGTGACAAGGTTTTTCCTCTTATTCCTTTTTACTTGTGCAGTTACAACAAAGACCTTTTAGACAAGGTGATGGAAATGGCTGATGGGATTGAAGTAGAAGACCTACCACAGTTTACTACCAGGAGTGAATTAATGAAAAAGGTAAATAGGATTTCCAGGTGCTTTTGAAGTGGCATAGATTTGATAGCCCCTGCCAATGTGATGTGTCAGACCACATTGTTTTCTGAATGCTCTTGCTTACTACCTCAAACAGCTAAGCCCTTTTATTTCTATTTCCCTATAATTGGTATAAACCTTTTCATAAAAATAACTGCCCAGTATGATATATTATGCATTGTTGGTGGAGTAACACATAAATTCTATCCCTTCAGTTTCTCTAGGAACATATTTTGAGCATTTTGCAATTTTTTTCTTTGAAGATTTATTTATTTATGCATACAGAACTGGGGTACAGGCCAGAGGTACAGGGGCAGTAAGAGGATTCACCAGACAATGGGAAGCAGAGCAGCAGATTGACGAAGTACAATGCTGAGGGGGGCAGTGGGCAAGATAGGAGAAGTCTGCTGCACCATGTGGGTCACTTCCTTGGCTAGGGATCAAACTTGTGCTGAAGTGGCTACAACTAGTTTCATGGTGCTGCACTTTAACCTGTTGCACCATCAGGGAGGGCCTACATTTTTCAATCTTGATATTTAAGGGAACGTTGACTAGTACTCATACTTACCAAGAAAGAAATCTGGGTGACATTAACTTATCCAGTTAGTAGGACCTGATCAGACTTGTTTGGTCCCTTTTATTTGCTAATGGGAATGAAATGGAGTAATTCCCACACTTCATGGCTATTCCCTGTTCTGCAGGGCTTAGTCTGATCAGGAGTTGTGGATGTGCCCAATAAGCTCTTGTCTCTAGAGCCTTATAACTTGATCCTGGAATTTACAGAATGAGGCTGACAGGATAGGAATGTGCAACCTAGTTGCTTGTCACAATCTCTCAAGACATACATTTTTCTCATTTCCCACGTCCTTGGGCAGCAGAACTGGTATCTCCCGATTTCCTTGTTGATGACTTTATCCGTGCCCCTTTTACAGTCGATTGTAAGCTTCTTGAATCCTTCTGTCACAAAACCTAGTGTTGGCATATGCCAGAGAAGATGCTCAGAAGAAACTTCCAGAGTTGACCCAAGCAATAGAGTAAACGGGTGCTGGCCTCTTTTTAGTTCTACCCTCAGAAACCTAGGTTAGCACTTGTCTCACCCCAGTTGGCTCTTGTTTTGGGAGGCAAGGTATGCAGAGAAGCTTCTGTGTAGGTATCAAGTAGTTAACCTAATAATCCTTATCTTCTCAAAAAGTACTTTGGTCCCAAAGATCACACTCCACTTGATTTCAGATAGTTCTCTTTGTTAAATAATTATTTTATTTATTTATTTATGCAAACAGAAGCTAAGGTGTAGGCCAGAAGTGCACTGGGCTAGATGAGAGGATTCACCAGAGACAAGAGTGGGGAGCAGAACATGTGGATCTACTGAAATACACTGCTGAGGGGAGCAGCAAGCGACCTGGAGAGAACTGCTGTGCCATGTGGGTTAGCTCCCTGGCCAGGGATCAAACTCTTGAGGCTATGACTGGCAATAGCTTGCTAATGCTGCCTTTAAACCCTCTATCACCAGAGAGGCCCTTGTGTGGCTCTGTTTAAATGTTGTAAAGGTCTTAACCTTAATGGTGTAGGTAGCCCTTGTCCTGGAGTGTTCATTTTTGACAGTTATTGCACCATGTGAGCCTCTTCTGGAAAGAACCTGGCATCCCTAAAACTTCTGAGGCCATCAGACTAATCACTAGCATTAGCTACCTGGAAGAAGCCTGCAGGGACCCTGCACTTCAGCAGGGAGCAATTTTTGATAATACATGTTTTGCTTTCCTTCATATAAAACTTGTTTTCTTAGTCAAAAAGTTTGAAACTGTTGATGCCACTGAAAATGAAACCCAGTTGAACCGGAAAAGGGGGCTAATTAGAGGGTGTGCAGAGTTCTGTCCATCTGCACTCTTGGAAAGAAGCCTGTCCAAAGAGAGATTGTCATGCCAGACTCATGTGGTATTGAAGGCTGTCCCCTACTCCATTGAAAAACCACCTTGTGAGCCCACTGAAAAAGGATTTTGCAGCATTTCTTTGTTTCTTTCCTGAGTTTTTTCCAATAGAGGCTGGCAAACAACATTGCCACCCTAGAGACCAAATACAGCTGTTTCATAATTTTGAAACAAGTGGATCTGTCCAATTCTTGCTTTTGTTTGAGTAGATACGAACATTGGTATGTGATAGTAGATTTATTAATCAGTTAGTTGTAGTGTATGAGTTTTCTTTTGAAAGAGGGACATTCAACACAAGTACATCGCACAATGTGCGTTATCTGGCTGTGCCCAGGCACCTACCATTAGCTCTTCTTTCTGGCTAACCAGCTTACCCATGATGAGCAATAATTAACAAAGAGCAGCCACTCACTCAGAAATGGTGTCTCTGTGGCGAACGTCCATTAAATTCCCAAGTCATTTTCTTAACAAGAAAGAGAGTGATTGGCTAGTAAGCTATCATTATTGGCTCAAAGAAAGAAGTTGTCAGCTTCATTACTTGGTCCATTTTTTCTGAGAACATTTTTATCAAAGAAGAAAATTGGCAGTATGGAAAGTAACAATATATGAAATGTGAAAGAGAAATATGCTGCATCTCAAAAGACCCTTTTCTTTGTATTATGTTTTATCTTGGTAAACTCTAAGGTAATGGGACAGTCATTCCCTTGCCTATGATAATTGCTATTTAAAAAAGAAAAAAAAAAAAACCACATGGCCCTCCCTGGTGGTGTTAAAGTGCAGCACTAGGAAGCTGGCCACAGCCACTGCAACATGAGTTTCATCCCTCCCAGGGAGGTGACCCACGTAGCACAGCAGACCTCTTCTGTCTTGGCCGCTGCCCCCCTCAGCAGTGCACTTCACTGATCTGCCTGTTCTGCTCCCCACTCTGTCTCTGGTGAATCCTTTCACTACCCCTGTACTTCTGGCCTGTACCCCAGTTCTGTATGCATAAATAAATCTTTTGGTAAAAAAAACCCCAGCTGCTCAGATTAGTTAGGTTTTGTCCTGTCTCCCAAGATAAAGGCTCAGTGGAACTACTTTTCGTATCCTTAATCTGGTAGAAATAGAAGCTAAAAAAAGCTGCTTCTGCCTCTAGAGGCCAGGGTGGTACCATTGCCTCCTCCCAAAACCTGTGGGAAGGAGTCAGTGGTGGCTGTTGTGCTACTGTAGGCTTGGCCTGTCTTACTGGGATCTGAGGGATGGCTTAGGAGATTCTCTTTCATTTTGGTTTCTCTAGGTGATATTGGATTCTCCTAAAAGGAGAGACTTCTTATATTTTGCTTTTGCTGACAAATTTTGTTTTTTCATTTCTCAAAAAGACAGGCCCAGAAAATAGGTCATACCTTGAAAACTCTGATTACTAAAAAGACTCAGATTGATTCACTCGAACTGATAAATGTTAAGGAAATCCATACAAATTCAAGGTGACAGCCAAAATGATTTCTTCACACCCTGCTTAAAAGTTGTCTAAAGCCAAGATTAAATTTACCAAAGGTGCTAGAGAGTAACCAGAAAGAATATATCTGCTTCAGTTCCCTACTATTTGAAGATATGCATTTACAGTTTCTAATAGTGTGAAATCCAGAAATATATAACCTTCACTTCTGTCCTAAATATCCTGACTCAATGTGAAATGTTGTGAATTACTACCTGGATTCAGCTACTTTTAATTTAGAACAGTAAGTGTTTGTGTGATTCTGTTTTTAAAGCCCTTCATTAGAGACCAAACCAGGAAAAAAGTTACATTTTAAATGTTTCTGTTACCATTTTAAAGTGAATCTTTATGGATTACAGGTGACAAGACAAAAAATTTGGTTATGGCTTCCAAATCAATGGTGTGGCTAGTGTTCTGCTGAATTTTTTGTATGTAGTAAAATATTGATAATTTGAGTGTATTTAATATCTGAGTAGTTCATAAATGTTATAGCAGTACTATATTGTAAATTATGGGTTTAATTCACTGGACTATATGGCTTTTTTTTTTTTTTTCAGCATCAAAGCTAAGTCGGAAGATTCATCACATGTTCTTCTTCAGCTACACAGGTTTAGAAAGGACACTGGCATGTTGACCACAGATAATCTCTTAAGACTCCTGGTATTGCCACTATATAGCCATGAGGCAGTGGGAACAAAAGGGAATCGTGTCTTGATTGTTTTAAAATTCTCATTCTCCAGTATATCATTGTGAAAGTATGCATGGATATTTATGTATTTATAAATCATGCCTTTATTTTCAGCGTGAATGTCCAGACTTTTGTTAATACCTTTTTTAATGGTGATGTAATAACAGGTAATGAATTTTACATTTGGATTTTTCAACAATGTACCTTTAAGTGTGATTCTGTTTCATGGTCTTTTTTTTCCTCCTGCCTTCTGAGGCAAACCAGATCCTTTATTTCCATCTGATGTTTATGTTATCCATATATACTAATGTTACATAAATTCATCTTTTTTTTTATTTTTTAAAGAAATGATTGACAGTCAAATCATAAGCTTTGAGGAAGTCAGCCTACAAAAAAGTCTAGCCTTATCTTAAAACTCAGTAACATATAAGATTCCAGTTATTTGTAGGTTCTCTAGTAGTTCTCTAAAGCTCCTGGGGAAAGCCCACATTTTCTTTCTGGAGGCAACCTAAGGCTTCCATTTTCTAGACTTGAGAAATTGCCTTACACATGGCCCTTAAACAAATTCTTGTTTAGTGTATTGTTGCTCTGCTTTGAAATTCTGGTGTTAATATCCCCCGGTTTAGTTAATGTAGCTATTCTTTACCTCCCTCCTTGTTCTTTTTTTTTATTAACTACCCACCATTAATTACTTACCTCTAGGCATGAATACTGCATTTGTGGGGCAGCATTGTAGTAATCACAGTAAAAGTCACTCATCACTGTGTTTGGCATTGGGAATGGTGGTAAATTAGTGGATCCTGCCTTAGCTCTATAAACACAGGTAATGGAATAATCAGAAGTGCTAAAGAGGAGGAGAGCTAGCTTATGGGCTATGGTATATTTGGGAGCAAAGAGATGGCAAGGTCCAGTGTCACACCTATGTATGGACATATCTCTGTATACCTTTACTTCTGATCTGGATTGCTTGCTAGGGTAGACTAAGGAAAAGAAGTCAAGATTTGTGATCTATAACCCTGGACCAGCCACCTCTCCTTGAGCCTTACCTAGAAATGGAGATCAAATCAGTACTGTAGTGAGGATTAGGATGTTTGAGCCATGCAAGTATTTAGTGAGCCAAAGCCTTTTCTTTTCCTCAACTGTAGCTTAGTATCTATTTTGATTATCCATACAAATTTGTGAGGCTTAGAAAATAAAATTACAAAGTCAAGTCATTTTTAAAATGCTTTTTCCATAGGATCCTGGTCATGGATTCTATTCAGTGTCCCAAATTAAACAATAGCTTGTCAGGAACACATTCACTACATGTAGCAAACCCTGGGCCCCACCATATCACCTGAATTCATTTATTTTAAAAGATTTATTTATGCATACAAGAACTAGGGTACAGGGCAGAAATGTGGGAGGGTGAGAGGATACGCTAGAGACCTAGTGGGGGATAACAGGTGGATTGACAGAAATACACTGCTGAGGGTAACTTGGCATATCCCAGCTGCCCAGTACTAAAGTCTGGGCCAGATATCCTTCTATCTGGAACATGTCAATTTCTGAGGCCTGAGATTTGTCATCTAGTCATAGCTCTCATTTTTGACTAGCTTAGGGACACCTTTCAGTTCTGTAGGAAGAGTAAACACAAATCTTAAGAGGAAAGTGAATTGCAACAGATTTTTGGTCATATGGAAATTTCTTCCTTAAATAAGAAGTCTATGTTAAAAATAATTTCTGTCCTCACAGGGACTTATAGCTATGTATCTATACATATCTTCAGGGAAGAAACAAAATTTTGCCTGGCTTGCTTTCCATTAAGATAAATACCATTGAAATAAGTATTTAAAATAAAAGCAAGCCAGGTAAAATTCTGATTCTCCCCCCAAGTCACTCTGACCTCTCAAAGTTACAACTCCCAGGGGTGTTCTCCCGGCTAGTACAGGGGTTAAAGTCTCAGTGTTATCAAGCTGTTGCCAGCCACTGCTGCATGAGTTTGATCACCAACCAGGGAGAGGAACCACATGGCACAGCAAACCTCTCCTGTCTTGCCTACTGCTCTCCTCAGCAGTGTATTTCAGTTGATCTGCCTGCTCTGCTCCCCACTGTATCTCTGGTGAATCTTCTCATCTCTCCTCAAATCTCTGGCCTACATCCCAGTTCCTGTATGTATAAATAAAATAACAATAAATCTTTTTTTAAAAAAGCTGCAGTTCCCAGGGCTCCTTTTAAACCAAATGTGGGATGTTTTCTCAGTGCCAGCCGTGGGGGCCACCCTTTACATCACTTTGTCAGTGATGGAGGTGTGCCTTAAGCCTTGCCTGCAGACAAGAGGGCCACCAGAAGAGGTAGGGTGATTATAATGGAACATACATTTGGAAATCAAATAGTAAAAAACTATAAATGCTTATTAAGATGTCCAGGTCTACATTAAGTATAAGCTAACCACTTATTCTAGACCTACGCTTGTGACCCAGAGCATTTTCTCTTGACAATGCTGTCAGACTTTCATGCCTCTTCAGAGCATCACCCAGGCAGCCCCAGCCCAAGTCCCACCTTCCTTTCCCTGCCCAGGAAAAGTAGGTGAATGAACCAAAAATATCCTCAAATATGGCCCTCCAACATCAGTTGCCCGAGAGAAGGCTGTTTTTAGGGGACTGAGACAGGTCTTGGTCCTCCCCTGGTTTAGTGAAGGGGCAATTAACATTGCGTGGTCAACTTTGAACTTAGAGATGACTTAGTGATTAAAGCCTTTGTTTTACTCTAACCATTAGGGCTGCATTTTCTTTTCCCTTTGACATTTTCTCATACTAAGATGGTTATCACTAGGTATGAATTGGTAGATATTTTTCCCTCCTCCAGAGTTATTCACCTCAGTGTTGGGGATCTGCAAGGTAGGGATGCTCTTCAGTCTGCTTGGTGGACTCAGTGGAAAAGTTAATGTGTGTGAAAGTACCTGGCATTTGGTGAGTCTTAATTGCTTCACTCTTGCCCTTCTTCCCCTTAAGAGACAATCTGAGAAGACATGAAATATTTCAACTATCTTGAATTTACACAAGAGAAAAATGAGCACTTCACAATTATCACACCAGACCAGGCTATAACAGGGCAGACCATTTCAGTTGTACAGCAGGTCTTAACATGTTAGCTGCTACCCATTAAGTACTCAGTGGTTATGTTGACTCAACAATTAGTGACAGAAAGACTGGACAGTAGAGGACCAAACAAATGCCACACTGCTCTGGAGAGGGGACAGGAAGCAATACCTCCAGGGTGAAGGAAAAGAGACAACAGGTGGCCAAGTCTGACCACAGCTTGGATATTTGCTATAGTCTCCTCACACCAGGCACTTCAGAAACCAAGTACTACCTACTATGGCTGGGGCTTAACACAGGCCCGAGTGGAGATTTTACTGTGGTATTGACTATACTGTGGAAGACTTGCCATAGTTAGTCCTGTAAACACCTATACTCATCCCTCTGGGTGTGAAATGTGGACCCCAGCTGACTGGGAATAGTTGGGCTTAAACCATCTCCTGCTATCCCCACTTCCCCTTAAACCAGCTATTTTCAACTTCTCAGATGATCAGACAATGATTCAAGCTTCTTTCTACCTTTGTCTTTAACTTTTTAAATGACTATGTTCTACTTTTATTAACAAGACCCAGAAAAGTGCTGTCTCCAGAGAATTTCGAACTTGGACCCTGGCGGTCCTCTACTAGTCTACTGGCCTCCTGCCCAGGCCTGCACAGTTGAACAATGCCATGGTTACCCAGCCCCAGAAAAAGAACTGACTTGTAAGGGCCAAAAAAAGACAGGAAGGGCAACTTTGTCCCTGAACAAATGGGTTTATCAACTTTGCCACCACCAGGACCCTTTACTGTTCTTACTAATCTTTCTGGCTTGTGAAATATTTCTTCCATGAGGACTGACATTTTTTTCAATCTAAAGGAAACCTCCCAGTTAATGTTTATGAGTTTCCTCTTAAAATCAGGCTTCTGTGCTCATCATGTACAGGTACACTAACCTTGCCATAGCACCTCTAGTTTTGGAAATGATATTCTAAGTCTTTATGTGTTGATACTGGGTTGGAGTCTGGATTCTGTTATTCTCTGCACAAGAGATAGCTAGGCCAACCAGCTTCTTATTCTTTGCCATCTCAATTAGCACCAACACAAAAACAGACTCAACAACTTTTGGAAAAAGGCAATATACAGGGGACACAGAGCTGTAAGTTATCTTCACTTGACATTCTCTTCAGAACTGCTGCTAGTCCAATTCAAGTGGTGGGCTGTGGTATTCTTGGCAAAAGGCTTTGTTTATAGAGGGGGAAGGAATGAGGGAAAACTATCCTTTGGATTTCAGACAGGAAGTAGCATTAAGAAGTTTGTCTTAACTGCACTTATATTTGTATTCTGGCAGCACTCAAGACACCACAGAACCCTCCCAACATTCCAGGAAAAATGTTAACGGAATGGATAGGTTGATGGTCCCCACTGGGATCCTTTCAGATAGGTGATGGCCCCCTTTAGGTATGCTCCCAAGCCAGTGATACTTTAGAATTCCATTTTCCAGGAAAGGCTAACCTACCCCATCGAAGACTAGAACTATCATACTTGTCACCAAGATTATCACATGTAAAGATTTCATTAGAAAAGTAACTGGTTAGACAGCAAAGGTTTTTTGCTTAGAGTATGTACACTAAATTTAGTCTTTCCAAAGATAGCATTCCAGAAGTCACTGATAAACAAAAGCACCATGTGGACAAAATTTAGCATTCAGTACAGTGTAGGCTTCTCACCCAAGTCTGAACCTTTTGAATGCCAAAGAATCTTGGAATCCTGTCTTTTGGATTTCTTGATTTTTAACTAGCAAGGAGCTAACATTACTGGGTCACATACCCAACGATGTTTGTGAAGGACGTATCACATCTTTTGGCCCAACTATCAATAGAAAAAAAGCCCTACTCCATGCCATGTACGAACAGTGAACTTAAACACCTCAAGACATTACTAACAAAATTGTTTTAAAAGCTGTTCCAAGACTTAAACTATGAGGAGTAAACGAGAGATGGAACATCCCTAAAAAATTTTTTTCAATAGGAATATAAAGGAGACGTCTGTTTTATGCATGTGTTGAATTTAGGAATTAGGGCTCACTGCAAAATAAATGATAACTCCCTTATCATTTAAGTCAATACTTGAAATAACTCTTCAATTTTAAATACGGAAAGGAAAACAGGTGGTAAGGATAAAAATGGATTTTGAAGCAATATCCAAATAACATTTAATGAAGTAAGAGGAAGACTCACAGCTACTGTATATTTAAGCATCAGTCACTGGAGTAAATGTCTGTAGAAACTGTAATTTGTTTTAGAGTTAATTAAAACCTTTTCTTTTGCCATGATTCCAGTGAGTGAACTCTCATTTGTGTCAGTTTCCTAAGTTCATACATTTAACCCCCCAGAAACATCAGCACTTATTTTTGCAGTGTTGAACGATGCTTAATGATTAGAAACTGTAGATAATGCTATCCTACTCTTCCAATAAAAAAGAAACCAGTCTTCTGACAGAGAAGCTGTTAGCTTACTCACATTAGTATGGATATGACAAGAAAATCTTGGGGTTACTGAAATAGCTGTTTTTTACTACTAGAAAGACTACACAGGTGGTTCAACAGAATTTACTTGTATATTTTCCATTTTCTATACTATTTGAAGGCATAAGATAGCTTTGTATTAGCTTTCTACAATACTGTGTTTTAAGTTTATCCAGTAAACTAAGATGCAGTTACAACTTTTATACAACTTAGGAGATAAGAAAAAAAAAATCTCCACAAGAGAAAGCAATTCAGCAGGCCCTGATATTAAAACATTTCTCCAGAATAAACATATAATTGCATAAAAAGGCAGTTTTTCAAATATTTTTACACCAAGATTCCTTCCAACTATCTGCCTTGTTCAAATCAATGCAACCAAATTCTTACTCAATGTTAATAGTGGGGCATGGATTTTTGGTAAATGTTTATAGTTGTATTTTCATTATCAATCTTCTAAAGTGCTATCAAGCAGCAAAGTAAGTTGCATCAGTTCTCTGCTCATGGTAGATGTGCCAATTCCTCATGTAGAGGTGCAAATTGTGAAATTGCAAAAGGTACAGTTTAACAGTAAGTAGTGCATGAAGAAACAGTAATGAGTGGCCTAAATACAGAGTTGGACAGAATCAAACCAATTATGTCTATAATTGCTCAATTGAAACCAACATAGGGATATTCAAAACAAAGTTTGAGATTATAATTGGAGCTTAGAATCAAATTTGAAGAATTTCTTGATAAAATATAAATCTGTTCTTTTGAAATTGGAAATGAAACTTTCAATTGATGGAGAGCTAGAGACTTATTAACCCCTCCTACACAGATAAGGAAATAAGTGACAAAGTCTCTTGCACTGAAGTTATGTATTTTAACAGCTTTACATGTAATATTCATATATAAAAAACTTTAAGTGCTTTTCTCCAATTTAAAAATCTAAAGAATTCAAAAATAAGGCATTCAATATTTGAAAAAAGTACAGATTTACAAAATGTGTATATTCTGTCATGAAAACTCCACACCAACATTATACACTTGGAAAAAAATACAAACAGGATATATTACAAATTTATGTAAGCAATAACTTAGTTCACACCATGCAATAAAAAGTACATTAATCAAGATACACAAGCTTTGTAGGTTCTAAACTGAAGGACTTTTTTTCTGCAGAATCCTTAAAACCTGTGGCACTTAAAATTTGTTAGCCTTTCTACTGAGAGGTAAATTATACACAACAATGATGAAAAGATTAACAGACCAGTTGTCTATTATGAATCATTCCAGCTTTGTTCAACAATGGCCGAAACTCTTTTCTCATATTCCCGTTTGTTTTCCTGATAAAGCTGTGCCGCCTGGCTATTAGCTGGACTGTTTGGATTCGGTTCATCCAGCAGAGACTAGAAGTAAAGAGAGAAAGAAAAGCGATTTGCTGAGCTATTCTTTATGTTAACATGGGTCAGATAGGGTATATGGATGTTCATAAAAACAACAAATTATTTAATAAAGAAATGGCAAAAATTAGCATGTCTCATATGTTTAGGTCTAAATACTTTTAGTAATGACTTGATACAGTTCTGCACTGCTGGAGAACATAAGCCCCCCAAATAATTACTTTTCAATTGGTTTAAACTTCGTATTTCAATAAAGGATTATATATGTGTGTGTGTATAAAATCCACATGAAGAAAAGAGACATCTAATTTCAAAGGAAATGGAAAACGGCATTCTACTGCACAGTGAGATTATTAACCACAAAATAAACAGCTTGATTTGGACAACATACAATACTTACAAATGGCTGAGCAAGTAACATTTCAAATAACAATTAAGTTCAGTAATGAATTTTATTCCCTTTAATCAACAAAACACATACATTGAACATCAAGGGAATGAAATACAAATTATTCTGTTTCTCTCAGGTCCACATAACTAAAATATCCCATATTCCACCCCACCAAAAGTGTTATTCAAGGTCAACTCTGAAATACTCTGGCAGTATACACTACTGTACTTTCTTTTTGTAAACAGATTTTCTTGTACCCATGCTTCTCTAAACTTTATTTTCTTGAGGTTCCTATGGTTTTTCTTTTCTTTTCCTATGGTTTTTCTAAGTAATCGTTTTACTTAGAAAATGGAGATTTTCCATTTTCCCCACAACCTTTAGCCATAAGCACAAATAAAAGTTGACCTGTAAGAATATTAATATATGTTCAGAAAAATGATTGTGGGTTTGATCATCTGTGTGAAAAAAATAGACTAGTCATCTGTCCAAGTTCTATCATACTTTCCATAGTGTAGTGGTCATCACGTTGCCTCACACAAGCTCTGGCATGGTTACCTGGGTGCAAGGAAGGTTTAATCACTAGATTGTTCCTAAAGGAGCCAATTACACCCCACAGAATATTTGGAAAAAAGCATGATGCACGCACTCTAAGACATACCTGAATTGATGTTAGGATAGAAGATACATCATATGTTGGACTCCATCTATTCTGAAGAATATCTAAACATATGCTACCATCAGCATACACTGCAAAGATAACATTAAAGTTGGTTACATGTTAACAAACAAGGTCTTACTTTGCAACAGTACATCAGGAGGCTGAGAGTTTAATTTTCAAAACACAGGAAATAGGTTTAATTCTGTATTCCTAAATGTTAACTAAAAAGCTTGAAAAAATGTTTATTTTTTGACACACCAATTCCACTCCCAGAAATTATCCCAGAAGAAATAATTTGGACGTGTAATTGAAGAATTGGAAACTATCTTACTGTTCATATAGCCAACACATACCAATGCAGCCACCAAAAATAATCTACCTACCCCCAAATGTTCACTGATGTAGAAAGATACCCATGCTAAATTACTATTATCTAACTAATTTTATATTACTTATAAATACCCGTATTATTTATATAAGGTAATTCCACTTTTTGGCAAAGAGTCAGATATTAAGTATTTTCATAACCAGAAAAGCATTTGTAAGACTAAATGCCAAAATCTAAGTGGTGGATATCTGTAAAGATTATTGAAGGATCTTATTCCCTTTACCTAATCAAAACTAAAAATGAAGTGGGTAACATGTTTTAAATGTCTTTCATTTGGGAGGCTTTTTCCTCCTTGGGACTGATTATGTAAAAACACAAACAGTGAAAATTGTCAATATTCACCCATTTGTGAAACTATGTACATTATCTACATGATAATGTGTATTTATGATGATAAACTATGTACTTATCTACATGATACATTTTCAGAATGACTATATTGAGGAATGGTAAATTCATTTAAATCGGCATGTAGGGGCCTCCCTGGTGGTGCAGGGATTAAAGACAAGTTCTGTCCCAGGCTGGCCAGGGAGCTGACCCCCATGGCACAGCAGACCTTTCTGGTCTGCCTACTGCTCCCCTCAGCAGTGTATTTCGGCAATCTGCCTTTTCTGCTCCCCACACGGTCTTTGGTGATTACTCTTCACCTTCCCTCTTCCCCTCCCCATACTTCTGGCTTATACCCTATCTCTTGTATACATAAATAAATCTTAAAAAAAAAAAAAAAAGCTACCACAAATTATTCTTAAATACTGGGTTATCATCCTCAGTCCTACTTCCCATTCTTTTTTTTCAAGATTTATTTTATTTATGCATAGAACAACTGGGTGTAGGCCAAATGTTCAGGGGGGTGAGAGGATTCAACAGATTTACACCAGATTTAATTGTCAGCTTTCAAGCTGCTTACTGTATCCTACAGAAATGCAAAAATCACAGTATCTGGAAAGCCCATAAAGTATAAAGTAATTTTTTTTATAAAGTAATTTTGAAGTATTGAACTAGTAACAACTGTTGATAATGCAAAACCAAATTCAAATGCAATATCAGTCAAGTGATGAATGGGTAAACAAAATATATTATATTCCTACAATGGAAGTGAAATATGTAAGTTCCCTGCTGCTATATGTTACAAAAAGATGAATCTTGGAAAGTATGCTGAAAGCTGTTATAATGCATGTGTGATTCATTGACATGAAAAGTTCTAACCAGCAAATCTACAGACAGAACAAGTCAGTGGTGGCCTGTGGATGGGGTCTGGAAGAAATGGGCTCTGACTACTAATAGGTAGAGATTTTAAGGTAACAATAATAAAAAGGGTTTTAAATTGATGGTGACGGTTATACAACTCTGTGAATGTATAAAGATCACTGAATTGTACAACTCAAATGGGAGAATAGCATGGTAGGTAAATTATAATAAAGATATCTGTAAAGTAAATCAGAAAGTAAACTTATAAAAAGTGCTGATAGATACAAACGGAAACCATGCTAAGAATGTGATAGGGTAAGAAATAATCTAATATAATGTTTCTTTAAAAATTCGCTAAGGTGGGCCCTCCCTGGTGGCACAATGGGTTAAAGCACCACACTATGAAGCTATTGACAGTCACTGCAGCCATTGATCCCCGACCAGGGAGCTGACCCACCAGCACAGCAGACTTCTCCAGACCCACCCGCTGCTCCCCTCAGCAGAGTACTTCACTCGGTTTGCCTATCTGCTCCCCACTCTGTCTCTGGTGAATCTACACCTCCGGTCTGTACTCCAGTTCTTGTATGCATAAATAAATAAAATCTTTTGTAAAAAATCCACTAGGGTAAGGCTGATAATCCTACTCACATACACATGTCCCCTACTGTACACTCTACAGTGTTTCCGACTTTTCTTTATTAATAGTATTTGGACTGATTGAATTCCAAGCCTAAGCCAGGTAAACTTCAGTGGAGTAAATGGGAAGTAAATCAAGAATGTTCTCAAAAACATAAACAGAATATAAAAATCAAACCTGTCTTGACTTTTAAAAAAAGAAAACAGGGCCCTCCCTGGTGGTACAACAGGTTCAAGCACAGAACTATGAAGCTATCTGCAGCCATGCAACACGAGTTCGAACCCCTGCCAGGGAGAAGACCCACATTAACATGGCAGACCTCTCCTGACCTGTCCACTGCTCCCCTCAGCAATGTATTTCAGTAGATCCCCCTGTTCTACTCCCTAGAATCTTCTCAACCCCCACACTTCTGGCCTATGCATAAATAAATAAATCTTTAAAAAAATAAACAAAAGGCAGCTGAAGGAAAGAAACAGAAACTACATTATCACTGAAGCACCAAAGGTTAAATGTGCTTACTAGGTGGGAAGTCACCTGATTCCAGATAAACATATCTTTCCTCTGCGTAGAGAGAACTCTATGTGCCTGTTGTCTTCAGTATTAAGCTAGTATAAACAATCAAGAGGAGGGGCCTCTCTGGTGGCACAACGGGTTAAAGCGCAGCACTATAAAGCTAGCTGCAGTCACTGCAGCAAGAGTTCAATCCCTGGCCATGGAGGTAACCCACAAGGTTCAGCAGACCTCTCCTGTCTCACCTACTGCTCCCCTTAGTAGTACTTCATCAATCTGCCTGTTCACTCCCCACTCTGGTGAATCTTCTCATCACCGATGCACCTCTGACCTGTACTCCAGTTCTGTATGCATAAATAAATAGATCTTAAAAAAAAAAAAAAAAGTCCCACTTGAAAGTAAGTTAATTGGGATGGGGGGGGAATCACACTAAATAAGCACAAGCTATTAAAAAGAAACAGCTTGAATATTTTGGAAAATAATTCTTTCAAATAGCAATCCATAACACATTTCTAAAAGTAAAAATGCAAGCAATCACAAAGTGGAAAAACGGGGCCCTCCCTGGTGGCACAGTAGATTAAAAGCACAGAACTACAAAGTTAAAGCTGCTTCAGCATGAGTTCAATTCCCAGACAGGGAGGTAACCCACATGGTGTGGCAGACTTCTTCTGATCTACCTGCTACTCCCCTCAGCAGTGTATTTGGTCAATCAGCCTGTTCTGCTCTCCCCTGTGTCTCTGGTGAATCCTTTTACTGCCCCTGCACCTCTAGCCTGTACCCCAGTTCTCTATGCATAAATAAAACTTTTTTAAAAAATGGAAAAATGTATTAAGAGCTGGAAAACCTACTACCATTGACTAGTGAGCCCAGTTTTAAAAACTTATTCTATAAAAGTGTTATGGACAGTTGAGTGTTAATTTTAGGAGTGCTCAAAGTGCTGTTTAAAATTGCAAACAACTTACAATCAACTAGACACTAACTAAATTATGGCAAGTTCATTTAACAACATTTTACAGTGATTAAGAATGATGTAATACTTAGTAACGGAAAATGTAGTACATAAAAAATTAATTTACATAACATTCATTTACATAACATATTCAAACTGTATAAATATTTACAACCAATTATTTTTGGTAGTTTTCATATTTTTACAAATAATACTACTTTAAATAAGAAGATGTTAAAACTTTACTTCAAAACTGCAAAAATATGTCTAATATCAACATAGAAAGCATACAGGCCAGCAAAGAAGTGTGTTCTACAAGTAAGAAAAAAAAGCAAGACATGAAAGGAAAGAAAAACTCTTCCACCACCTCCCCACCCAATCATTTGCAAAGTCCAATAAACTACTACTTACCATTTGGATGAAACATTTTGGATAAAAACCTAACAGTTGGCGGTTTATTTGGATATTCTTCAGAAAATTCTATTACGAGTTTAAAAGTACCTAGATAGAAACAAACCAAAACAGTCATAATAAAAACAAGCACATTTTAGCTTGTCATCAATCATTCTCAATCCCATATTGGTTTTTGCATATAAAGTAAAGATACTTCTATTTACATTAGACTAAGAACAAAAAAGCAGAAAGCACTTGGAGAACAAGCATGTTTCAGGTGTTCATGGTGAGAACATATTTATTAAATAAATATGTCACATTTTAGGAAGGCAATTTGGCCCTCACTATGCTTATTTGGCAATTACAGACAGTTTATTATAGCTGAGAAGAGGTGACTATATTACAAAAGAATCAGACTGTAGTAGGCTTGGGTGGTAAAGTTGTATTCTGTCCCCACATGAATCCCTTTACTTTGCATTCAAGAATCAGTGTCAACAGGCCTCCTTGGTGGCACAAGGGGTTAAAGCACAGCACTATGAAGCTCTCAGCAGCTACTGCACACAAGTTTGATTCCCAGCCAGGGAGCTGACCCACATACCACAGCAGACCTCCCCTGTCTCCCCTGCTGGTCCCCTCAGCAGGATATTTCAGTCAGTCCGCCTGTTCTGCTCCCCACTGTCTCTGATGAATCCTAGCATTTTAATTTTCTTTAATTTAAAAAATATGCAACATAAAAATTTCAAGCAAACACAAATATGAAGCAGCTAATTTAAAATCTTTATAGGTTATGGGGCTTCAGGACCCATTTACCCTCTTACTCTGATTACTGCCAAGCTTCTAATATGTAACCACTGAGTGTGACCCTGGAAAGAGATGCATGCAATAGCATTCACTTTATAGAATTTAATGATATATTTTTAAAAAGATTTATTTATTCATACATAAAGAACTGGGCTACTGGACAGATGTGCAGGTGAGAGGACTCACCAGAGACAGAGTGAGGAGCAGAACAGGCAGATCAACACTGCTGAGGAGAGCAGTGGGTGAGGCAAGAGAGGCTGCTGTGCCATGTGGATTACCTCTGGGGCTGGGTATCAAACTCCCACTGAAGTGGCTGTGGCAAGCTAGCAATGCTGCATCCTAACCCGCTGCGCCACCAAGGACAGCCTTTAATGGTATTCTAATGTAGAGATACAATAAAATAATCTCAAGGATACCGTAGCAAACATTAAAATGTGGTAAAATAGTTAGAAACTGATAAGGTTTTAATATTTATCATCTTTTGAAAATATGTATTTTTTTAAGATTGATGTATTTATTTATGCATATAGAACTGGGGTGCAGGCCAGAGGTGCAGGGGTGGTGAGAGGGTTCACCAGAGACAAAGTGGGGAGCAGAACAGACTGACTAACGAAGTACACTGCTGAGAAGAGCAGCGGGCGGGTCAGGAGAGGTCTGCTGTGCCATGTGGGTCCACCTCCGGGGCAGGGACTGAACTCATGCTGAAGTGGCTTTAGCTTCTTAGTGCTGTGCTTTAATCCATTGTGCCACCAGGGAGGGCCCGAAAATATGTATTTTTTAAAGATTTTATTTATTTTTGCATAGAAAAACTGTGGTGTACACCAGAGGTATGCGGGTAAGAGGATTCACCAGAGACTGAGTGGGGAGCACAGCAGGCAGATCTACTGAAATACATTATTATGGGGAGCAGTGGATAAAACAGGAAAGGTCTGCCAGGTGGGTCAACTCTCTGGATTGAACTCAGGCCATTACAGTAGGCTATAGTGACGGTAGATCTCTAGGTCACCAGGGAGACCCTGAAGATGTAATCTCATTTAAAAATATATACTGTAATACCCAGTTTACAAAAATTTCCAAATTCTTTATCTGTTCTCTCAAGACTAGTAAAAGCTGCCACCAGCATACTTATTATCTACTAATAGTTGTATTAGAAAGTATTACTCAGAAAATAGTAAAACTGGGGCCCTGGTGGTGCAATGAGTTAAGCACAGCACTGCAAAGCTAGCCAAAGCTGGTTTAACACACATTCACCCTGGCCAAGGAGGTGACCCACATGGCACTCAGACCTCTCTGGTCTCTCCTGCTGCTCCCCTCAACAGTATACTATCAATTGGCTGTTCTGCTTCCCACCCTATCTCTAGTGAATCCTCTCACTGCCCCTGCACCTCTGGCTTGTACCCCATTTCTATATGCATAAATAAATCTTAAAAAACAAACAATCATAAACCCATTATGTATTAGCTATGCAACATTTAATGAGAAATAACTGTATTCTACCCCTTCCCAAAACAGTAAACAGGTTAGCACTGCTTTACTTTTTTTTTTAAGATTTATTTATTTATGCATGTAAGAGCTGGCGTTCAGGACATAGCTGGCGTACATACATGTGTGTATGTAGGGGGGAGGAGGCAGTGAGAGGATTCACCAGAGATGGAATAGGTAACAGAACAGGTGACTGACTGAAAAATACTGCTGAGGGGAGCAGTGGGTAGGATAGGAGAGGTCTGCTGTGCCATGTGGATCACCTCCCTGGCCAGGGATCAAATTCATGCCGCAGTGGCTACAGATAGCTTTGTAGTTCTATGCTGAAACCCCTTGCACCACCAGGGAGGGCCCACTGCTTCACATTTTTGCAACTTTTGTTAGTGACTGGCTTAAGACAACTAGTCTCTTAACTGCTTCTGCAATCAATGTTGTAATATACTGCTTTGCTGGAGTTATATAAAGAAAATCAGACTTCACACAAATGTTTATGAAAAAGGAAGGTGTATCTGCATGTAATTGTAGGTACTACTTTTTAATATTACATCAAAGAGATCCTAAGTTTTTAAAGATTAGTTGACAATGTAGAAATTTAAAAACCATACAAACTATGGCCTCCCTAGTGGTGCAAGGGGTTAATTCTCAGCACTATGAAGCAGTCATCACTGAAGCACGAGCTTGATCCCTGACCCACATGGCACAGCGGAACACTCCTGTCTTGCCTGCTGTTCCCCTCAGCAATATATTTCAGTCAATTCACTTATTCAGTTCCCCACTGTCCCTGGTAAATCCTTTCACCCACTAACCCCCACCTCTGGCCTCTACCCCAGTTCTTGTATACGTAAATAAGTAAATCTTAAAAAACAAACATACAAATTGGTTATTCTATCAGTTACACTGAAATCTGTTGCACAATATATAAATCTTTCACCGATTTGTTATTTTTAGTTTGTCATATGGAAAATATTGGTTCATAATTCACCTCTATACAACTTTTCTAAATGCTGCACTACTTCATTAGTACATACTATCAAAAAGAAATCACAGCAAATTAGTACCACCTACTGATCTCATCAAAATCTCTTAATTTGGGAAGCTGTTGCTTTATCAGCAGCAACAAATACTTCAGTCATTTTCTTTAACCTAACAGTTCACACTAAGGCCAATTTTTGAGAAATGTCTGCCAAATATGCACATCTAACAAACCAAAGTTTGTCATTCTTTCAAGTAAAAATGTTTCATGATAAAATGCAGTGCAGACTGCAACTCAAACAGCACAGAAATTATTCTCCACATAATCAAGCAATTTAGTATGAAGTGCTTTATGCATACTTACAATTTCATAACAGAATATTAAAAAGCATATACTTGTGGGTCAATTTTAATAATATCAATAATTTCTACTTTTCCAAGACATTTTAACGAGAAACTGGTACCTGATATACAAAAAAAGCTAAGTCCTCATGTACTTATCTTCAACTATCCACCCAGAGGTAAATACTGACAGAAGTAGTACATAATCCTTCCCACATACCTGAATGTATATAGTTAGTAAATGTGTAAGCCTCCCTGGTGGCTCAACAGTTAGGACACAGCACTGCAAGCTAGCCGCAGCCATTTCAGTGTGAGTTCCATTCCTGGCCAGGAAGGTGACCCACATGGTGCGGCAGACCTCGCCTGACCTGCCAGCTGCCCTCCTCAGCAGTGTACTTCATTGATCTGCCTGTTTTGCTCCCCACTCTGTGAATCCTCTCATGCCCCGCACCTCTGACCTGTACCCTAGTTCTTGTATGCACAAATACATCTTTTTAAGAAAATGTAAACTATTCTCAACATAGGTGCTCCCTACCATCTCGGCTTATAGTTATACAGTGAAATATCAAAGCTGCAGAATGAAATGGAAATGAAAGTAATGGAGCAATGTAGGAAAAATGTCCTCCACAAACTGTAAATTCTCAGTAACATTAGTTTTAATTTTACCTATTAATAATAGAAAATAAGTAGAAACACTGATTATAATTTCCTACATAAGAATAATCCTTAATACTATAGAAAATATGAGACTGACTTACCATCTTCGAAGGGTGTCCCTTCTGGTCTGAAAACAAGAAGATCTCTAATTAAAAGTAGTTTTTCATTCTGTCTGTCCTCCCCTTTCCCCCCATTTTTAAGAGCAGTTAGAATAAACTCACATAGAAAGAGGTTTGTGGAATTTAAAAGACAGTTTTATATAATCTTAATTTGGTTTTCAAAGATGCAAGCATAAAGGGTAATTTTCATTTTCTAAGTGTTCTTTTTAGGATGATTTAACCAAAACAAAACAAAACAACCTGTCATAATTTTAGAACTAAAGAATTTCACTTTGTAAATACTAACCTATTTGTTAATACTCATATTCTTTAAGAGAAATCCTATTTTCAATTTATACCAAATACTACTCTTAAGATAATTATGACAATAAACCTAAGGGTCCTGCTTTCAACAGAGCAGTAACTATTTCAAATTGGCTAGACATAACTGTGTCACCAAGAAAACTAGTTTCTTTTGCTCAGATTTTTTTTCTTGCCCCCATGTTTTGTTGTTTTCTAAGCATCAGCATGAACTTTAATGATTGCTTGTAAGGCATTTTCAAAATCTCAGAAAAGCATTTAAATAGCCTGACTTTAATATACTCTTCTTAATCAAGAACGGTGAACTTTGCTATTTTTCCACTAGTTATTTTACATTTTTTTTTTCCATCTCAATTATAGTCCCTGCGGGTTTCCCATCACCAAGTCACCCGTGTGCCATCACCATAATCCCGTGCACTTTCCTCCCCACCCCCTGTTTTTGATCCCATTCCCCACTCCACCCCCACAAAATGTCTCTGGTATATGGCTGTTCATTATTCTTGTTATTTTCTCGCCTGGTCCATTATACTCCTGCTATGAGTGAAACCATCTGGTATTTTTCTTTCTCTTTCTGGCTTATCTCACTAAGCATAATCTTTTCCAGCTCCATCCAAGTTGTTGCAAAAGACATGTGTTTCTCTTTCTTGGTTGCTGAGTAATATTCCATTGTATATATGTACCACATCTTTTTAATCCAGTCATCTACTTTTGGGCATTTGGGCTGCTTCCATGTTTTTCCAATTGTAAATAAAGCAGCAATAAACATGGGGGTGCAGGTATCTTTTTCAATCAGTGTTTCTGTGTCTTTTAGGTAGATACCTAGGAGTGGGATTGCTGGGTAGTAAGGAAGCTCCATGTTTAGCAGTTTGAGGAACCTCCAAACAGTTTTCCATAGTGGTTGTACTAGTTTGCATTCCCACCTATTTTCCACTAGTTATTAACATAGTGGAGAACTGAGCCACTGGAACTCACAATTCTGTTTACAAATGTATTCTTCTAAAGTTTTGGAGCAAAACCCTCATTTAAAAAGTGAATGAAAAATGGTCAAGTTTAGGAAAACGAAAGAAAAGGCCTAAGGAAATTTTAAATTAGTACACACATATGCAATGCATTAACAATACTCTTCTCAAATTCTGTCAACTCACCCAAATATAACTGCATTCCACTGCATAATATTGTTTTCAGATGGTGCACCACTGACACCCACAGGTGGGTCCTCTTGCAATCTAGAAATGCAGGAGTAGTAATTTAAAAAGTTGACTAAAGATCACTAAGGTCAAAGAGAACACTTATGAATAATGTACCATTTATTTTGAAATACAAACTTAATCATCTCCTTGTTCTTGTGCTGAGCTGGAATAAATCATAACTTAAAAAAATGTACGAGATAAAATTCCAAAGTGCTTGGGAATCATTGTGCTTCAAATATCATTAAGGTTAAGATATGTCTCCAGGAACTGATATATAACGAATGCCCTCAACTGGAACAAACACACACACAGACACACCTTTTAACCCTAAGTACAGCGAGTGTTTTTACAGAATCAACTTTATTGAGATAAACATGCAAAGGTTGTGGAAGTCCTAACCACAGCTACCTGTGCAACCTGGTCACATAGGAACATAAAGCCAAGAACACCCCAAAACAAAGAACCCTCAGTGTAAAACATCAAACATACTCAGTTTACTTTGGAAACTAGTTTTAGGCAGGAGAGATACTTTATCCCATTAGCTTCAATTAGGAATGCCTTTTAAAAGTAAAGAAAGCTTCGGTGAGATTTCCCCCCACTCCCCTGTTTTGAAGGTTTTGCACTATGATTAACTCTCTCTCTCTCCAGACTGGGAGACTCCATGCAAAGCTATCTTCCAACATTTGTCACAGTCAAATTCTTGTAACCCGAGGACTCTTGGAAAACTACCAAAGGTGACATGTGTTCCACTCAGAACTAAGAGAATCGCAGTAAGAAACCAGGGCACCAATGGTCATAAACTTTTTAATTGAATTTCTGTCGTGGGAGATAATCTGAAATCTACTTATTTCAAGTTTAAAAGTATATATGTGCACCAAATAGTCTCTCCTTTTAAAAAAACGTCATCTAAGTTAAAAAAAAAGCCATATATATATGTATGTATGTATGTATGTGTGTATGTACCGACTGTCACGTTTTATACTTTGAAATTAGTCCACACAAAAATGGTTCTTTTTTAGTTAACCTCAAGTGAAATCAGGCCACCATGAACAGAAGTCGAAAAAGAATGGTACTGATAGACACTCACGAAAGGTTAAGAGCTAAGAAATGGTAGGTATATCCAATGGTAACCTGCCCAAAGCCCATAACAAAGACTTTCAAATGCCTCACCAAGGGTTTTATAAATGGTGAGATTGAGGTTGCTTCCTGAAAGGCTAATGTAGGTCTTATTATCATCTTATTATCATCTATTTTGTCTCAGTGTGTAAGTGTCCCCAAAAACACTAAAAAAGGTGCTTTGGATTGCAATGCAGTTTTCTCACAACTCCTTCCCTGTACTCCACGAAAGGTAAACAACTGGAAAAAAGGTCACTTCCTGCTCACTAACCCCAACACCTCCAAACAAAACCCTAGTTTACAAAAGGAGGCCGAGAGGGTATCAGGTTAGAGCCGGAATGACACAAGGCATTTTCCACACTCTGGAGACTCTGGCTAGGGCTGTACACAGCAGCAACAGAGCTGAGTTCCAGAAGGCACTGGCAGTCGGGGTTGCCAGGCCGAGTCCCAGGTCGCTCAGCCAGTTCTCAAGGTCCTTTTAGGTAGGCGGGGAGAGTCGGGTTTCGGAGGATGGGTTAACCCCCAGATCTCGCGCGGCAGACCCCACCCTCACTGCAGAGCGACTGGGGAGGGGAGTGTTTTTCGCCCCCTCCCTGCCCCAGGAGCAGTCCGCAAGGCCCTCGAAAAAGATGACCGGTGCAGCAAGCAAGGCACAGCTTCTGCAAGGGCTCGCTCTCGCGGACCGGGAAGGGGCCGCGCAGGGTGCAGGGGGAAGGTGAGGTCTGAGCACTAGGGCGACGTCGGGCAGCTGGCCCAAGCGGGCAGCAGGAAATCCTAAGGCAGTCCACAGCTACCTTCACTTTGGGGGGGAGGGGTGTCCACATTTCTTCTATCGTTAGAGCGAGCAAGCAAGGCAGAGGAGGGCGAACGGGGCCAGGACGCGGCTCCCGTCGGTCCCGCAGGGCCCACAGCCGGCCCTCTGAGGGTCAAGAGGGGGTGATGTCCCGGATCCCCGCCCTGCAGTGCCGCAGCTTTGGGGAGGAGCCGTCATCCAGGGAAAGGTGAAGGCCCTTACCGCTTGAAATCCCGCATGAGCCTCCTCCGGGCCGGGGTCGACATGCTCCCCAGCTGCCCCGCGGTCAGTCTGAAAGAAAAGAGTCCCGCGCAGCCCCCCCACCCCCCGGCGCGGCGGCCGAATCACTGTGGGTTACCGCCGCCGAGGCTGCACAAACAACCCTGCAATGACGTCTCCCTCCGCCGCCTCCAGATCCCTCCGCCCTTCGCCGGTACCACAGAATAAGGGGTGGGGGAGAAAAGAACGGGCCGCGGGAGGTCCTCATGGGAGCCTTTCAGCAGGGGTGCGATTCATTTTGGTTTGCTGAGTCAATCAACAAATGAATGTTTCTTGTGCTCAGAATCGAAAGTGTGAATTAAGAGGCACCGGAACCGAAAAGTACCCTGTCTCGCCCCCTCTCACTAGTTTAGACTCGACCGGGTGGGGAGAGAGGGACGCATCCGGGGCCAGAGATTTCAGGGAAGGAGGTGGGAATGACGTAAGCTCACGTGACTGCCGGCGGCGTTGTCAACAATCCACCCAGAGGGGGAGAGGGCGAAGTATCTAGAACCACGTGTCCTATGACGTAATTAGAAAAGATCACGTGAGAGCGCGTCGCTGAGATCAGAGTGTTAGCCAGGTCTGTGAACTGGGTGGTGTAAGGTGCTGAGGAGACTGCGATGCCGGTTTATTAGTTCCTTCAGTTTGGCCCTGCTGCTGGGACAGCAGTTGAAGAACTCGTGGCGGAAGCCGCTGGCCATTTTGCTTTTTAACTCTTTAAAATGGAACCAAAAATAATTTGGACTTAAGCTCCTCGGGAGGGTTGAATGGTTATCAAATCTGGTCCGTGGAGAAGGAGGCAAGAAGAGACCTCCATGTTCTCCCATTAGTGCAGCACTGAATGCTGACGCCCACTCAAAGTAAACCTCCCTGAAGTGCTTCTTTGGGGCTATGGAATAGCCAGCATGTGCTTTGCAGTGAGGTTGCCAGGTTGGAAAATCTGGACAAAGATAAGAGTGGTGGAGATTGTTCAAGGTTATAATTTCCAGGGAATAACAACTATTTTTACTTACTGGGTGTTCTCATTTGAGAATTTGTGTCCAAGTTTATGGATTGACTAGAGTGGGGTACCATTGTATCCCATTTGTCAAGAAATGTGGCTGTATGATCTCAGCATAGGGACAGGTGGTTGGTCGTCAAACTTAAAAACATGACTCAGATCTGGGTGGGGACAGGGAGAGATGAGTGTGGTTTATCTATCTAGGTTTTCTACACTAGCCAGTAAGGTACTCACGGATCTGAAATGTCCCTCACCAGGGGAATGAGAGGATTCTGACATTTCCTGTAGTCACTGAGTTTCCTTTCTAGTCTCTGGACTTTGTTCCAGGATGCTGAGCACTTTCTCATTCATTTGGCGAATTCTCCAGCCCAAGTAGAAATAGGAAATTGAATGAACACCTCAGGGTTACCCCAGGTTGCCCCCAATTCTGTGAAATCAGGGTTAACTTGTTACTTTCCTATACCTCCTGAATTCTGGTATCTATCCTGGTAAGCAAGTTTGCCAGCTCTAATTCTTGATAGGCTCTTGTCTGCATTAAAATGATTCTTTTTATTTTTTAAAGTTTATTTTATTTATGCATACAAAAACTGGGTGTAGGCCAGGGGTGTGTGGGTGGTGGTGGTGGTAAGAGGATTTTCCAGAGACAGAGCTGCAGATCAGGAGAGGTGATCTACTGAATACACTACTGAGGGCAGCAGCAGGACAGAAAGGAGAGGTCTGCTGTGCCATGTGGGTTAGTGCCTCCTCGCTGGGGAGTGAACTCCCTGTACAGTTGTTGCTGATAGCTTGAGAATGCTGATTAACCTTTTGTGCCACCAAGGAGGCCTCATAAATGATTTGTTAAGTAAAAATTTGAATATTTTTATTTCTGTTTTTTTGGTTTCACATGGTAGCAGCCCTAATCCTTCGGCAGCAACAGATAACACATCTTTACAGTACGGTCACATGCAGTGAAATGCAAAAGTGAAACCTTAAAATAAAAATCCCTGTTGTGTCACTTACCTAACAAGATATAATTATTTTGGAAAACCAGTTTAGTTTCCCAAAATGAAGTAACACTTTCAACAAAATGAGTGAAAGTGTTTCATTAAAGTCTTACAGCAGTATATAAACAACAACTGCTTGTTCTGGTTACTAAGACTGCCAAACCTGATTGTAATAAGAAGAGTTCTAAAGCTATATATTTATACAGAAATTATTTTGTAGTTCTAGAGTGTGAGCTCATGAGGGCAGGGACACTGATATTTGTTCCCTAGAAAATATTTAACCCACAATATTTAATAAATGTGCTTTCAGCCAACCTGGGCGCACGCTAAGATTTATCATAACATTTTTATTCATATAGATAGTAATACACAACATTGGTTGAATAACTTAAAAAGACAGTCCTGAATATTTTGGGTGATAGAACAAAAACCATTGCCACCTCTCAGGCCCTGACAGTGCTCTCTCAGCATACATACAGATACTAGGGAACTTAAACAATTTCTTCACCTATTTCATTTAAATCAGGATGGCGGTTGCAGCTTTTAGAAAGTTTGCAGGCGTGATTTTAACGTGCGTGATGGGAGACCAACTGGACTAGAATTTCTTGACAATGTTTTTTCTTCTTTAGAGGAAGCATAGTGTGATTGGGCCATTCAAGTTTAACTCATCCTACTGAATAATTAAATGCATGCCCTGTAAAAGAAGGCACTCTTGAAGCTGTGTTATTCATTGGAGGCTGTCACTCCAGCAAACCTCCATGTCTAATTGTTCAGCCACGAGATAATACCTTTCCCCCTATTTCTGTGCCATTTGCATGTCAATTCCTGCATGGTAAAACCCTTCGAAGTAGGTGTTTCAAGAAATGTTTTTAACATTTTTGTCCCCATTTCAAAGATTACTGACCACAGCTGCAGTCAAACTCAGGTTATAGGATTATTAATATAGTTTGCTAACTCCTAAAACTACATTACACAAAACTAACTTGGAAGTCTTGTTTTCCAAGCCTTCCCTGATTAATGTCATCAGCCATCATATTTGGACACAGCACAAGCGGCAGGTATTCTCAGGAGGGCGGGCAGTATTTGCGAAGAATGTCGGACTAAAGTCCGCCTCGGTTCCCCGTTGCTAGACGATTTACAGTCATTTACGCTGTGGTCAAAATCTGGGTCCTTCGTATCTCCACTGAAAACCAACCCATGTGAGGTTGGATCACAACCCAATTTATGTGATCCCCTCAACCGGTACTCAACCCATCCCCCGCCTCTCCTAGCTGTCAAGCGTGCTGCCAATCGCCTCGCCAGAAGCTCATTTAACCTTTTCTTGTTTTTCTCTTCCGGGTCGACCGTCGCCGCTATTCCGGTCTTGCGCACTAGCAAGCCCCACCGGGCTGTTGCCATGGTAGTGGTCCGCGGTTATCCAGCCTGGCTAGCTGGCTAAGTAGCGTCGCTGTCTGGATCCCAGCTGATACTGTACAGAGCTTGGTTGGCGGGACTACAGAATGGGCTGAGGCGGTGGCTGCTGCCCGGACAAGGTAGACTGGGGTCGAGAGGCATGACACTGGTCTGGAACTCTGAGACCTCTGGTTTAAGGAATGGAAGGGACCGAGGTTTTCTCGGTTCCAGAGGCCTTATCATGTGTGGGCGACTGCAGTGTTACGAGCAACTCGTCTTTGACAGAGGCATGGCAGGAGTTTTGGGGACCCCACCCATGATGGATAGGTGATATGTAGTGAGGAACTCTCTGTTAATGACCGAAACAACAGTAGGAACCCTAAATTTTGGTGAGTCACACAAGGACTTCTTTCTGCCGACCTGCCCAAGGTCCCAAAGATAAACAGGGTCTGTGGAGAAATACTTTTTGTTTCAATGTTTCTACATTTTAAAGTATGGGTTTATTGTGAAAATGCATTTTCTAGCTTGAGTAGATAAAAATGTACACCTTTAACGTTTTCTTTCTTTTCTGTTCTTTTCTTGTTTTTTTTTTTTTTTTTTTTTTTTTTTTTTTTTTTTTTTTTTTATCTATGAAGAAGTTGAAGCCGGGCTGGAAAAATGGAATTGTATGAAACCCTCGGAAAAGTGGGAGAGGGAAGCTATGGAACAGTCATGAAGTGTAAACACAAGGACACTGGGCAGATAGTGGCCATTAAGATATTTTATGAGAAACCAGAAAAATCTGTCAACAAAATTGCAGCAAGAGAAATAAAGTTTCTGAAGGTTTGCTTCTTTTGCCTTAACTGCTCTTAAGTCAAAGGGGAAATCATAAGGGAATAAGGAATTAATATAAAGAATATATCACTTGACAGTTGTATTAAGACATGTAAAGGAAATAAACAAGGGTGATGCCCTAATTATCTACATTTTATAATTTTATAGTGATACAAGAGGTATTTCTTTATGTATAATGTAACAGAACCTGTGCCAATTTTTTGTGAAATAGCCATATTTGAATATAACATAGTACTTAATAAAATTGATTGTGCAAGGGATTATACTAGATGCTGAGGCTGTAAGGTGATAAGTTAGTATATCTTCTTCAGAACTATTATTATTTAACCAGAAAATAGGTTTGCTTATATAAAAATAAGGCTGAATTAAAAGTGGCTCATAATAAATACCAAGTGGTTAGCGTGAAATCCTGTAAGGTAGGGAAGGTTTCTTGGAGGAATTGGACATTGCAGGATATGCAGAATTTAGGTAGGAGGGAGAACTTCTATATTCCAGGTTAGGGAAACAGCTCAAAAACGCTAAAGCAGGACAAAGGCAAAGAGCTGGGTGGAAAGGATAAACAGCAGATATATTTGCTCATAGAGTTTCTTGTATAAAAGTAGAAGGAGGTGGGATTAAAGTAATTGGTGTATTTTAAAGTCTTTTAGAGTCAAATTTGATTTTTCTTTAGGGGTGGAAGGTTTTGAATTTGGTGTGAAGAGGCTCTAATTTAGCAGTGTTGTTTAAAATAGATTGTAAGATTAACAGGATAAATAGGGAATTCTTTTACGTTTCATTTAGGAATTCTGATAAATGAGAGTCTTCTAGAATGCAGTAATTTGAATGGAAAGTAAAATTAAAATAGATTGCAAGAAGATGGGGTTAAAGTGCAGCACTAAATCTATCAGCAGCCACTGTAGTACAAGTTCCATCCCGGGCCAGGGAGCTGACACACAAGGCACCTTTACAGCCCCTTGTTCCCTCAGCAGTGTATTTTAGTCAATTTGCCTGTTTGCTCCCCTCTGTCTCTAGTGAATCTCTCACCCCCATACCTCTGTCCTGTACCTCAGTTCTTATTAGCATAAATAAATAAATCTTTAAAAAAAAAGATACATTGCAAGAGGAGACATGAGAGAGTAGAGGAAAGTTGAAGGGGAATTGTCAGAGGTACCTGAGGCATTTTTTTTTTAAAGATTTATTTATTTATGCATACAGAACTGGGATATAGGCCAGAGGTGCAGGGGTGATGAGAGGATTCACTGGAGACCAACTGAGGAGCAGAATAGGCAGGTTAACTAAGGACATTGCTGAGGGGAGCAGTGGGTAGGTCAGGAGAGGTCTGCCATGCCATGTGGGCTGCCTCCCTGGCCAGGGATCGAACTCGTGTTGAGGTGGCTGGAGCTAGCTTCATAGTGTTGCGCTTAAACTCCTTGTGCCACCAGGGAGGGCCCCAGTGTTTGAGGTTTAGTGACTGCTTCCAGTGATGGAAATTTGAAAGACCTAAAATAACCATTATCTGGAAACTAGTTCAGTTTCAGAAATGTAGAATTTGAGGTGACAGGAGTATATGTATAACTAGTAGGAGTCTAGAGAGGTGATAGGTATGCAAAAAGTAGAGCTATGTGACAGGTTAATCCAGATAAAAATCTTGAGTGTGGAGAGGGAGCATTCCTTAGGGGTTGATTGCAGATATGGTTTTTTAAAGATATATGTGTATTTTTACTTATTTTTAAAGATATATATTTTTAAAGATGGTTTTAAAGACATTTATTTTATTTGTTGGAATTTATGTAGATGCGTACGGCAATACAATGTAGATGTCTAGACGCTTTATATATGATGAAGTAAACAAATGCTTTTTTCATTTTTATTTGATATAAAAATAATCTTTTTAGTCTAGATAAGATGGTGGATCAGCATGCTTTCTATACAAAATAAATATATTAGGCATCTGTGAATGTCAGTTTCTAGACAATGAAAAGTTAAAGTCAGTAAAGATTTAAGATTTTGTGAAAGATGACAGTCCTTATCTTGATGGCCTAAAACATAATAGTACTGTAAAGCAGCTGTGCGCTCCAAGTAAAAATGAGACTTTCCAACACATTATCTTTTGCTCTTTCTTCTACTTTGTGTTGTTAAACTGATTGTCATTTCTTCCTACATAAACAGTAAAAATGACCTATATATGTCAAGAGCACAGAGATGAATTTGAAAATATACTTTATTACTACAATGATTATGTAAACTATTTTGAGATATCTTAGCTGTGTATTCTCATTGTTGTATTTCTTACAGAATTTTTAATTTGATCTAACTCAACTAGATCCAAATAATTTCTTGGATTAGTTAACGTTCTTAGTTAACTAATTTAAGTTAGTTTCTTCACTGCTTTTTCCTAAGTTCATTAACTTGTTAAGTAAGATTAACTAAGTTAATCAAGGTTGCCATATTGACTTTTGAACCAAAAATTTCTCTCCTGGATATTTCATTAAGTAGAACACAGAGTCACTAGAATATCTGTAGAAAAGTAGTCTAGAAATGAAGAGGAACAAAAATAACTGGAAATGGGTCAATGTAGCTTTTCTAGGTATTTTGTGGTTTATCTAAGAAAGTATCTGATTCCTTTCTCTTGGATGGCTCTTCTCTGATGCTTATCAATGAACATTAACCCTTCACTACTTTTGCCTTTAAAATAAAGACTGGGTAGGAAACCAGTAATTTTCCTTAGTTGTAGGATAAATACTCTAGTGTCCAAAAATAGTTGATTCATTTTTGCTACTGCCAACATGTTGTGGCTGCAGCGCTCTGGCTTCTTGCCAGCTAGGGAATTGGGAGCAGAAATAGGAATCTGGCATATATTTTGGCATGTTTTAAGGATGTTAGTATCTGTACTAGTACAGAGAATTAGAAAAAATTGATGATGTGCCATTGGAATGAAGGCCAATATTTTTTTCATAAAAGTATAGTTTCCTAATGAATCAAACATTGAGAACATAACAGTTAATTTTTAGCTAAATGAATAAGTATTTTTGGTAATTTGGTAGAACATATTAAATATTTGAGAATTGACTAAGTCAGTGTGTTAAAAAATAGGGTAAGTGACAAAATATTAAACTTCATTTGTTTTCTAAGCTGATCACAGCCATTTTTGACATTTTGAAATTATTTTAAGTGTCATTAATCAAAAATTTTTTTTTGCTTAACATAGTATTAAAAGCAATGACTCAGAATCTTATCTACAAGTGATTGTATATTTATATAACATTTCTAGGGCTCTAAATTGCTCTCTCATATCTGAAAAGTTCTTAATATTTTGATGTTCTTTTGTTATAGTGTCATGAATTTATAATGCCCACCTGGAACTTAACTTTTTTTCCTTAAGAGTTTGGTTCAAATTCAGAATAAGTAATTTCTGTAACTTTAGGTCTCATACCCCATGGCACTGAAGTGTGAAATAAGTCTATCCTTATATGAAAAGAGAAGGAGCTCTGAAATTTCAGATGTTAAATTTAACCACAGGCCAGGATAAAGGGCAGCAAGGTGTCTCTTAGCAGTCATCATCATATTTATAGTACTTTATTTTTAAATTATTCTAATAAATATCAAATACCAACTTGAAGTAAAGCAATATATCTTTGTTCTACAAATATTGATTATGAAATAGATGAGTCATTTTCCTAAAATAGGAGTGCAAGCAAATCAATTGAGACAGTTATATTGAAATACCTGGAGAAAAAGAAAAAGGGTATTTCTTCTTTTCTAAGCTATACAGATATTATATGTACAAATTATTTGTGCTTGAAATGTGTTAAAAATCCATTTCTTTTGTCAATAGCAATTCCGTCATGAAAACTTGGTGAATCTGATTGATGTTTTTAGACAGAAAAAGAAAATTCATTTGGTGTTTGAATTTATTGACCACACAATATTAGATGAGTTACAACATTATTGTCATGGACTAGAAAGTAAGCGACTTAGAAAATACCTCTTCCAGATCCTTCGAGCAATTGAATATCTTCACAGTAATAATGTAAGTGCGTAAGCGTAAGCCAACCTGTATGACAAATATGAATCATAAGTGCCCTTTAAATATTGTTCAGTTTTTATGACTTGTTAAAATAATATTCTGTACAGTATTAATTCGCACCCTGAAAATGGAGAGGGATACTGAGCAATCACTACTTTACAATTTAGTTCCAGAACTAAAAACATATTGTGCACATTTAATTGTATCTATAGGGCAGACACAGTATGGGATGCAAAAGGAGGCAGCGCTAGTGAGGTGTAGCAGAATCAACATTTAACTGGAGTGCTTTTTTTAAAGAAAGTAGATTAAAACACTGGAAGTCTGGTTAACTCAAATGAAAGAAGGTTGGAGTTAGGAACTGGAAACTTGGCCAGGGAAATAGCACATGAATGTAAATACCTTTAGGGGAAGAAAGGGAAATAGGTAGTTGAGAGGTGCAAGGCTAGTGTTTAAGCTATAAAAAGATCAAGAAAGGATTTATAGTGTTATTTTTAGCATTGCCTAATAAATAGTTAGCTCAGCTGTTTTTGTTTTTTTTTTTTTTT